CGACGGCTCAGTTAGAATCCCAATATTGGTGGTGATCCCAGGTCCAGAGCCTCATGCAGCAACGATAACAACGACCGTGCTGCACGAACGCAACTCTTACTCACACAGGGTTTAGCCACGTGGATTCCCCTGGACTCCACCGACCCCCTACCCACCCCCCACCCCCAACAATTAATGATTTAAGCAAATATTGATTAGGAGGGGAGGAATACATTCCGATGAAATACTACTGGAGGAAACGTAATTACTGTAAATATAGAAATTACCAAGGAACAGTGTCTCGTGTACATTTAGACATCCATTACCAATTTCTTTGGAGTGTTTAATTTAGAAACAAAAATTCCACATTTCAAATGCATGGAAGGAAAGTACATATTGAAATGTCATGGACATTTATACAGCGCGCATATCTGCAAAACAGTGGCGTGGAAGATAGCGAGTGTGCAGGCGGTACAACTGCACCGGGTCCCACGGGCCAGAGCCTCAGGGGCCAAGGCACTGGGCTACGAAGAGAGGGGGCGAGAGATTTGACAGGGGGGGGGGGCTCATTTCAAGCCTTGTACGAGGGGCCCATGCCAACCACACTACGATACTGACCCCCCCACCCCCCACCAAAAAACACACATTGCTTATAGGCTACACAGCTGTCACTGAAGGGCTGATGTTCGCCCGTTCTCAAGCTCCACTTCAGTCAGGGATCCGGTTGGACACGATGGCTCTTCGGCAAACATGCGTTTGAAGCTCCCGTGGAAAGCTAATTATCTATTCAGGGCCCCTCGCTCGGTGAGCTTACAATCTACATCCCATTACGTGGAGTTGTGACGAGCGCTGAATTCACCCCGAGCTCTCACGCTCGAGACGAAGGAGACGAGGGGTCGGCACCCTGCGGCTCAGGAGCCGCATGCGGCTCTTTAAGGACTGCAGAGTGCGGGCTCTTGAAATTATAACAAAAATGGCCCTGCTTGTTATTTTGGTTGCTGACTCCTGACCACTGGAAGTCCAGTTCACCATGGGAGTCCAGTTCACCATGTGTTTACAGTTCACCATGGAAGTCCAGTTCTACGTGTGAGTCCAGTTCACCATGGGAGTCCAGTTCACCATGGGAGTCCAGTTCACCATGTGAGTACAATTCACCATGGAATTCCAGTTCACCATGGGAGTCCAGTTCACCATGGAATTCCAGTTCACCATGGGAGTCTAGTTCACCATGGAATTCCAGTTCCACGTGTAAATCCAGTTCACCATGGAATTCCAGTTCACCATGGGAGTCTAGTTCACCATAGAATTCCAGTTCACCATGGGAGTCCAATTCACCATGGAAGTCCAGTTCCACGTGTAAATCCAGTTCACCATGGAATTCCAGTTCACCATGGGAGTCCAGTTCACCTTGGGAGTCCAGTTCACCATGGGCAGGGGTCGGCAACCAGCGGCTCCGGAGCCGCATGTGGCTCTTTAAGGACTGCTGCTTCGTGACGTCATTGATTCGGGACCATCGTCTCGTATCCACGTGGATTGCGGCTCTTGAAATACAGTTTTGTCTCTCTCTTTTTTACCGAATTCCCTCCAAAAATGGCTCTTGTTATTTTGGTTGCAGACCCCTGCTCTAGACACACGTGGGGGATGGACACTTAAGGGACGGCAAAGGCCAAATGTGGAATCTCAGATCGGTGAAGTCGAGTGCAGTGCCAATATAAGCCCGCTAAGGGCTACTTATAATGGCCCTACAGTACGAGTAATTGGCAAAATACCAAATTACCCTCAACAAGCCCAATCGCGTCCGATCTCGTGAGCCAAGCAAAAGTTGAGCCTGGTTAGTGTTTGGATGGGTGACCACCACCAATGCTTGCCAGGTGTCGTAGGCATGAGGCTTGGAATAGACCAGAGAAGGCAGGCAGTACGTGGCTTGGTTTCTTCCCACACGACGCCAAACATCCCAAATCTAAAAGGACCCTCCTGAAAAAGAGTCTCGAGAGAGATCGGTGGGGCTTTTATGGGTGAATACGTAAAGTGAATTACGCCCTACACTTATAGAGTACAGTATAATAGTTTAAAGTTAAACATCCTGCACGCGTTATCAGATGCAATCCCTCCTATAATCATCATCTTCAGACGCAGGAGATATTAAACACAACTATTAAACTATTTACTGTACGTGCTTTTATACTGGGAGGTGTAACAAAACATCGATTCATCGTTTCGTAAACGGTACCCTATTTAGGCTCATGGTGAATCGAATCTCGTTCGTAAGAAAATGTGTGTATTTGATAGATAGGTTGAGCTGCTATGTAACGAGGTCAAAGCTATATTGAACGTGACAGAAAAAACGAGATACAATGGAAGACATTTAATCCGAGACTAAATAATGTAACGTCGCCAGGAATGTGAATCGTTACGAGTGCTGGACGACCCTTTGTCAATTAATCCGCTGCTGCATGAAGACCCCCTTGCACGCCGTATCGGCCGTGGGAGATGTTTGACCATACTTCACCACGCCGCTCAGTGCTCAGACTCAAATCGATTTGAATTACTGGAACTCGGCAGAGTTGTTTTTAGCCGCTGTGTTGTTGTAGCCATCAGCGCGTTGCCTCGACTGAGCGTGTTGGCAACACACGCAGCGGATAGATCACGGCTGATGGTGATGTTACCTTATTACAGTCCCTTTTGTCAATCCGCTGCTACGTAACGCAGTGCGCCAACCACTGCGCCACCGCTCCCCTCTAAACATTGCCACGCGACCACACTCACCTCTTCGGGTGTCAACTCTGCTTGTTGCTGTTGCTGCTGCTGATGTTGTTGTTGTTGCTGTATCCCGCGCATTGCTTCCCTCTCCACACACTCGTAACAACCGTGTCCCTTGTAATAAATTACAATTAACTTCTAAAACTTCTGATGTTTACAATTGTCGTACTACACGTGTTTCCAAACCAAACGGAAACAAAAACGCTGTCGGGAATCGAACCCCACCGAAGTGCATAGACAGTCAGTTGTGTGTGGTGGGCACATACAAGCCATGCGGTTATAGCCCAGCCAGGGTAACGCGTTTGGCAGGCGATGGGTTAATGTGTGGCCAGGAAATAATGAAATGTGCCTCTGCGTGGGATCGTCTTTCTCTGCCCTGGGTACACGGGGGGTCTCCGCTCAGTTCTCATGCACCGTGAGTAACCAGCCAGCCACCCTCCGCTCCGAAGGGTGCTCGTAATGTGTGCAGCTAATTAAGTGGTAGTGCAGGCCACATGAATTATTTCGCGGTGCTTATTGTTTGGGCAGCAGAAGGCAGCGAAGCGGAATCAGTTGGTTGCATGGACACATCGACACCGACCCTCGCCCGCCTACGCCTATTGCGTATACGTCCCTGTGAAACTCTCGCAGTGATCAGTGTGCACGCCTTGTAGAATGGCCCCGAAAGTTTATATCGCTTCCTGTAAACTTCTTGAACGACGGGGACACGCCGTGAATGTCTGTCTTTTGAGCACTTAAAAAATGTCAAGACGGTCAAATGCATCGCACGTTTGTAGATGCGCTTCTGCGGCCGTCTGGAACGCTCTTCATTCCGATATTAGGAAGCCACGTGGAGCTCTGGACTTTTAAAACTAGGTTGAAAACGAATTTATTTAGAGCTGCTTTTTGTGCAGTTAGCACGGTTGGTTAGGTACGGTGTGAAGGAAGTTCAACATACGTATGTACACACCATCACGGCACTGACCAGCGATGGTGAAGTGCGGTCTAAACAAACCTCCCACGACCTGTACAGGGGAAAGCGGCCTTCATCCAGCAGTGGATTGACAACGCGCTGCAAATACGAATAATGAATCTTGCTTACATGAAGTCCAGTACACACAGCGAACAGTGCACGTTGTGACGAAAGTTCCTTCTCGTCAGAGGATTTTGTCAAAAGTTTCAGATGCAACGAGAGAGAAAAAAACACATTCCTACTGCAAATGTAGTGATGTAGTATAGTAATTGTATTGGCATGTGTAAATGCGTAACACTAACAATGTACATACATAATCAACGTTTTTGGGTTATATCGCGTTACTTATAAATGTGTCGTAACCCTCCACCACCCGACACGGCCAATCAGCAAAAAAAGTGTCACGCTGACAAAAGACAAATAGTTCACTGCTTTAGCCCACCGGTGTGTTGAAGCGTGAAACCACAACATTGCCAATTTTTTTTACAATTTTTGAGTACGCGATCTAGCCCAAAAAAGTTGATTATGAATAATATTGGTCGCGAAAGCCTACGTATTAAACCAAATGTACGTACAGCCTGTTGTCGGGCACGGAAGTTGTTTTGGCCATACTTCACCACTCAGGAACAGTGCGGTTCGATGCAGAGGAGTGCCTAAAGACCGGTTCTCGTAAAACTCGCCATCGATGTTACTGGTGGCTTGGAAGCAAACTCGAGATCGCTGAATGTGTTGGGCAGTGCGCTAACCACCGCACGCGCGACCCACCGCTCCAGTCCTCTACTATAGCGATACGACAAAACTGTAAAATATTTTAAATTTCGCGCGGCAAGCAAACGCAGCAGCGAACGATACATTCGATGCGTGTATGATACGTAGCTTTAGCGATTTCATTTTAGGGTTACCACGATACGATACGTTCGATGCATGTTAAAAGTTTTTTTTTATATAGCAGATAGGATTGTTTCCTGAAAAAAATGTTCTATTAAATTGCAGTTCATATAGGTAGGCTAAGAATTTACCTTGTTTTTTTTACTTTTCATTTTACTGTGCAATACAGTATTGTAAGTAATAAATACATACAATATATAGTTTATACAGTACGCTACTGCAAATTGCTCTGTTTTGATAAATTATCACCATTCGTTAAGACTCCTGGGTAGGCTAGGCCATCTTCGACTCACGATATTTTTGACTTACGATGGGGTCGTCGTAACGCATCTCCATCGTAAGTAGAGGACTACCTGCATATACACATATCATTGTTCCGTAATTGCGTAATATACAACTCAATTAATGCACCGGAGGTCACCTGTATCTCTTGAATGTTGGCCGTCGGGATGAGGATGGATTGAAGCCTGCCTCTGACGATGCTCCACGGCTCCTTCAGTGACCTCCGCGACTCCATCCCCTTGGAGTGGCTCTCGCCTCTGTGTCGCTCTCGTATCTGTGAGCCCGACCTCTGCCCTCGTTGCCTTATATATTCCATATACACAGGTGTGTGGGTGAATACGTATAGCGCCTCGCATGGGGGAGCCCTGTATATGGGCCATAACACGCAGTTTGCAGTCATAAACCACTTTTTACTTCGCCGCCTGTAATTGTCTAAGGAGGAATTTATTTTTTTACATATTTGTCAATAACTTTACAAGAAAGTTATATCCGATGCGACGTTTCGAGCAATGGCCCTTCTTCATAGCACATTTGGTGAGACTGCTAATGAGGTGTCACCAAATGTGAAAAATTGCCATCTACTCAACAAATGTGCAGGGCATGATAACTAAAACAAATGTAAGTTCATCACCACTATAGGTTATTTTTATTGTATTCGAACAAATATTGCAACATGCACTGGCTGTTAAGAAAAGTGGACTTGAGACGGGACACGTCCCCGGTGGTCGAGGCTAGAGACGGAGTGGAATCAAAAGGAGGGAAACGCGCTCGGGAGGGCATCCACCGCAGAGATGGAGCGATGAGATCAGATCGCGTGTCAAAGGGGCAGGCACGGACGTTTGCATCGCGAGACGTTGGAGAGACGGCGATCACTTGGGAATCCTTCGTCCAGCAGTCGATAGGTCACGGATAATGATGACTGATTACTCGGTTTTGGTCCAAAAATTAGTGTATCCCGTATCACGAATATGTATCGTAATTGTGACTTGGGGGCCGTCCATAAATGACGTCACGCAACTGGGGGGGGGGGGGGTAAGATATTTGTGACGATGTGTGACGAGGGGGGGGGGTTGAGAAATGTGACGTCACATCAAAATGCGCAACTTTAAATAAATATAAACAACACGTTCTACTTAATTAAAAATAATTTTTAATAAATGTTTTCTCCTACAACATCAGAGTGCAGCGCCACATTAAACACGCACCACACTGACAATAGTTTAAAGCGATTTGAAGCATGTTTTATTTTTTGGGGGGAGGGCAGAGCTTTGTGACGTCATATTTGAGGGGGGGGAGCTGACTCTTTGTGACGCCGTGGGACGAGGGGGGGGGTCAAAAATCGTCCAAAATCGCGTGACGTCATTTATGGACGGCACCTTGTGTTCTTTCATGCCTCGTCTCGGCAAGTCGTAATTTCTCTCTCGCTTGTTGATTGGGGGTTTGTAAACTTTTCCGGCCGTATACGGTACCGCAGCGCCACCTCTTGGCGCCACGCAGAATTGAGATAGCATCCTGGAGTCAAGACTTCAGGAGTGTCCTTGCACCATGTTTGGCCAATTCCGTTTCAGTTTTTAAAAATCCTTTATATTAAGTTCACTTGCTTGCTTGCTTGCGCGCTTACGACCGTGCAAATCTTTCGGTCGTTTTTTAACCCGCTTCCCGTGATCCAATCGAGCTGATATTTTGCACACATACTCGTTGTGCGTGACAATTTATTTTCGTGAAAAAAATCCAAAATTTTACACTTTTTAGGAAAAAATAAATTATATTTAATTACCAATTGCTTAATGGTGGCAGGCAATCATCTGACCCATAGGTGGCAGCCATCTCAAGCCAGAGGACGAGAGGACTCTAGCCGCCCGTTTCAAAGACCAATGTCCTTATATACGACTTTCCTTATATTTAATTTAAAATACCAAGGTGATAAAAATGAAACTCTTACTCAAGAAAAACAGAAATTAATAATAAAATAAAACCGCTGCCACGCATATAAAGGATTTATAGTGAAAAACTTTGTTTTTACGGGTTAATTTTTTTTCATTTATTTGGTACAGCCCTGTGAGCCATTCGGCTCAAATATGACGTCACAAAGCTCGGACACCCCCCCCCTCCCCCCCAAAAATAAAACATGCTTCAAATCGCTTTAAACTATTGTCATTGTAGTGCGTATTTAATGTGGCGCTGCACTCTGATGTTGTAGGAGAAAACATTTATTAAAAAGTCTATTTAATTAAGTAGAACGTGTTGTCTATATTTATTTAATGTTGCGCATTTTGATGTGACGTCACATTTCTCAACCCCCCCCCCCCCTCGTCACACATCGTCACAAATGTCTGACCCCCCCCCCCCTAGGTGCGTGACGTCATTTATGGACGGCCCCTAAACCGCACGTGGATAATCGAGATTCTACTGGAAACGTAAACACCAAACGACCAGTCATTACTGAAGAGCCGCCGATGAAGTTCCGGGTGAATGCCCCTATTTGACAGCATACATGAGAACGGCAGATTATGACACAGTTTAAGGAAACAGTTTGCAAAACCGAGTGTTTATTTTGAATGTTGATGGACTGAGGCACCACATTGCTAAAGTTTCCTCCTTCCTCTCTCGGAGTTTGAGAAAAGGACCTTAAACGTTGTCTTACGTTTAAATAGAACGTTATGATGTGACAAAGTAGGTGTATTTGCCACCTGTACATCGACAACCACAACTAAAAGAACACCCCGTTTAATTCGATTAATTAAATATTAAATCTGTACAGTTTTTACTTGTACTACACTATGAACCTGGTTACCTGGGTTAATTTCTCTGCCGTGTGTATGTTGAACTTCTTTCGCACCGTACGTCGTCACCGTGCTATTTGGAGATGCGTGGAATCATAAGTGCCGCTGCTAACATAAGTGGCGAGTTATATGTTAATCTGTCTTGCTGCCTCCCTTTTATACGCACGAACTAGTGTGGTTGAAGTATTCTCAAACAACCCCGATGATCAACAGACATTCACAACAGCAGTTAATTAACAAATGGCTGTAAAAAGAAAAACGAGTTGTTCGTTACGTAGGCTAACGACACGAAGAAAATTGTCCAAATTAAGCAGAAAAAAAAACAATAATCTAAAAACATACCAACAAGTCGGTAGACATGAAAAAGTATAATCAACTCACAGAAAATCACTACCCCTAATCATCAAATTCATGGTGAACCGTCTCATGCCTAATACAGTAGTTACTTTCCAGTAAACATGGAACGTTGGGCCAACATTAGTCCAACGGTTCCAACCACAATACCAACATTTCCCCAACGTTGCATGTTTACTGGGTACATACCCTAATGTCCACATTGTGGGAAGTCAAAAGAGGTGGTCCTATGGATAGACTGTTACCAGCCATGGAAATGTGAAATGTACAGATTTCTCAGGGCTGCCAACAGAAATGAGATTAGGGAGACTTTGACTTCTATTGCAAAAGAGCTCAGCTTTTCCCAACGAGCACCCCCCTGGTTAAAAAATGGAAATACTGCCATCACTGGCGTCGTTATTATTTAGTTGGGGTGTACCTATGCAACAATGTTTCAAATAAAAGTCGATTCTTAAACTCCATATATGTGCAACTAAGCTCCCCAAAGGAATCAGTGTTTCGAGATTCGCAATTTTAACAGTCTTCCACTGTAAAACACATACTGCATACACACAATAGCTTTGCTTTCTTTACGTATTAATTCAGAGAAGCTACATTGAGTTGTATGACCTTTTGTCATGAGGGTCATGCGACATTGGGTTCTTTTGTTAAATGTTTTTCAGCCAATTAATGATCAGTATTTATACAAGCGGGAGGAAACCGGCGGAGCTTGAGAAACCCATTTGCGCGAGGGGGCAACACTCTATCCCCGTACAGATGTAAACAGATTAGTCCACTTGCTCTACTGCCTTCTGCTGGTGAGCCAGGATAAAGCTCCTTCTCTTACGCCTTACGGGAAGGGAGTTTCACAACATCGATGTGTGATACACCAACCATCGCTGCATCCACAGGGCCGATTTATAGACTCCGTGGATAATTGCCACTGCCCGGCCGATTTTCAACTATAATTCGTCAAACTGAACCCCTCTGTGCTCTGCAGAAGGACCGTTGCATTTCACAAGTAGTACTAGTCGCATATCTGCATTTCCCATAAATATGCTAAAATTCCTCTTGATATGCAAATTATTTTGTCAAGGCGCTCTTCCTCCTCCCTCCCAGCTTAAATAGACGCTCCAAGCCCAGGACGTGTCATTCAGACTCTGTCTTATCGACAGACCTGTTCTTCACCTGAGGACGGCTGCTTGCGTTCTGGCCGAAACATCGTGAGAATTATTTTATTATGTTTTATTTTTATTATTTTATTATTTCCATTCTACGTGACTTTACCGAAAGAACCAAGAAGATGAAACAATATAATCTATATTCTTGGTTCTTTCGGTAAAGTCACGTAGAAGGGAAATAATAAAATAATACAATATATATAAAACAATAAAAATTCTCAATTTATTTTTCAATTTGTTAGTTTTATAAAAAAAAAATATTTAATTATTTCCCTTCTACGTGACTTTACCGAAAGAACCAAGAATATTAATCCCTGCAGTCACGAAAGCTTGAAATCCAAAAATATAATCTATGTTTCGGTGCTAATAAGGCAGCTCTTTGCCAATATCACTGCTGGGTGAGGGGGGGGGGGACATGGTAACATACTACGGTACAACTGTTTGGGATCTACGGATGAAATACGGCTTACAATTGTTAATGATTATTATTGCAATGCAGCTTCTCAGCAGCCTTAGAACGCGTGATTATATGCGTGCTTTTTGGCGATTTAAGCACTATCCGTGCTCAACTCCTGCTTAGGCTGGGCAAATAGGTCTGGTTAAAGAATTCGCATATTGCTCAGTCCGGGTGTACTGATTCATACAATTATCGATTAATGTCGATTATATCAAGCGTGTAAACATCGATTTTTTTTACACGCTTTCATTTAACTCACTGTTGTTGTATCCTCAAAATTTGTAACTTAATTTTAACCAACTTCCCAATGTGGTATCGACTGCAAACTTGGTATACTTATGTCATACTGATGACAATACTATATTTTATCATTAAAAATTTTAATATATATTTATAAACAATCTTTTTTTATATTTTGTTTCGGCTTGGGTCTAATTGTCCACGGTTCATTACGTTATGGCAAGCCTCGGGGCCACTTCCTGGAGTCGTGGAGTTCTGCCATTTGTTG